CACCAGGTATTCACTCCTATACATAAAACAGGAAGCCACTGAAAAGCATAAAACACAGAATACTGCTTCCATTTTCACAGCAAAGGGGTTAGATACAGATGAAGCATTGAAAAGGATCCCAAACTATGAACCTGACAGGTATATAGTCTTTTCAGACTGGAAAGATGGATACAGGTGTTCGGAGGCACTCCAAAAATTAACATTGCATCATACCTTGCGTGGGACTTGAGGGACAAAATCAGAGAGCTCAGATTGAGAGGCAGAAGAATCAAGTTCTTCTAGATTCCAGCTCACTGTGGTATCCAGATAAATGAAAAAGCAGACCCAGGAGCCAAGGATGCAATCAATAATGGGAAAGACTCACAGTTTTCATGTCCATCATCAGATATGAAAGCTAACTGGAAAGAATGTTTACAGGAGGAGTTCCGTACATTCTGTCCAGAAACTGGTACAGAAAAAGGCATCAATTACATTAACAAGTACTATGGTAAAAGCACTAAACCATGGTTTGAAGCCCTCCGAATAAACAGATGAGTGATGGTGACAATAAACACATTGAGAAGCAGTCACACCAGCCTTGAACAGCGCCTGGCAAAACGGGAATAGTGCCATCAGCAGTTTGTGATTGTGAGAAACGAACAGAGACAGCAGAACATATCTTCTGGGAATACTCTCGACTTACAAAAGAAAGTGCTAAATTAAATAATGTACTCAAAAAATGGCAAAAAACAAAATTTCCACTCATTAGCAGAAGCATTAAAAACACGAAATTTGGGGGAAGTCAAGGGACTCTTTAAATTCATACATGACATTCCAAAATATATGTAAACATATAATAAGTAGAGCTATTGACTAACCTCATGGATATAGTGGCTAAGACTAAGTTGTAAATAGGCCACGCCATAGCTCAAGCGGTTAGTCGTTGGCTTCCCACCGTGGCGGCCCGGGTTCGATCGCACATCTGGTCAAGAGGGATTTGTGGTGGACAAAGTGGTGCTGGGCCAGGTTTTCTCCGAGTATTTCGGTTTCCCCTGCCAATCTTCATTCCACCAATTGCTCCACAATCACCCTCACCTACCATCTGGGGCTGGTACAATAGGCCAGAAGCGGCCGCAGTACAAGGGAGTTTGTCCCACACCACTAGCAATAAAAAAAGTTGTAAAAAATGAAATTATGAAGGTGTCAAAACTTGTTAATTCCACTTCCAAGTCTAAAGATTGTGCAAATATAAACATAACACTAAAGAGGGTAAGTCTGTCTACTCCATAGGAAGGCAACCCATGTAAGATGTGAAGGCTGGATGGGCAAAGCCTAGGCCATTTCTTCTTGTGGTCTAATATTGAAAAACAGAGCAAACCCAGCTTAGCAAACATTCATAATAGGTACACATGACATAATAAGCACAATGATCCAACACCATAGGACACATTGGCACAAAGATGAAGGCATATCCAAAAAACTGAACTTGCAGGCAGAAGCATAGCAGTTTCACCAGTGTTGGTCAAAACTTGTTAAGTGCATACACCAGTGACGGATAAGAGATTTTAACGTTCTAACTTTTAAAAAGTAAGTTGCATGTGTGGATTCTACTGTATACATATCAGGAGAGTAAAAAGATGTTCACAGTTTAACAAATCTGAGTGTTAGATCATCTTTTTGACTTGGGGATGTTCATAATTCAAGTAACAGATTCCATACCATTCGAACCCTAACAGTATGCAATGGGTACAGAGAACTGTCATGCAGTGACCATCACTACAGGATGTGAATGAATCCACCATGTCCAAAACAAGGATGCAATGATGCTGACTGTAGCACATCCCAGGTTCACTGTCAACCTTTATAGAAGTGAGTTTACTGTCTTATGGGATATGACTCTACATAGTCTAGTAGAGAGGTAGCAGCGTTCCAGAAGAACCTATCTCCCAGAAGACAGTAATCTTCATAATCGCTACCATGAGAATCTCAAGTCATTACAGAACTGGTCATGGAAATGACTGCTTACTGAAGCAATGAGAATCATAGAAGAAATCACATAATTTAATTAAGCATAGTCCTTCCTTGAGAAAGTGGCAGTCATTCAGCTGTGCAATAAGTTTGCTGCCTTTTATGGACTTGAAAAGTTCATTATGACTTTCACAAGAGTTTGCCACCAAACCCTGTCCTAAAACAAAACAATCCAATCCAAATCTTTGCAACCTGTTTCTTCATAATCGATTTTAATATTATATTAGCACCTATGCCTAGGTATCTGGTTTTACGAGGGCAAATTGAAAAGTCTTTGCCCCTATTTTTTTCAGCCACAATAATAAACATACAGAGAAATCAAAATACAGGCAGTGTTCTAAATACCTTTGACTATTTTTCCACACAGTCACCACCCGAATTCAGGCATTTGCCCCATTGCACCACTAGTTTGGAGATGCCACTGTTGTAGAATTCGGCCAGTTGAGCGCAGAACCACTGCCAGACAATGGTTTTCGCGTCATCGGAAATGAACCTCTAGCCTGCCAGGAACTTCTTCAGTGGACCGAACACGTGGTAATCACTGGGGGCAAGGTCTGGACTATACAGTGCATGCTCCATAATCTCCCAACCAAATGACTGCTGTTGGGCAGTGGTCCTGTTTGCCACATGAGGCCTGGTGTTGTCATGGAGAACCACATCATCCACGAGAATCCCCAGGCACTTTTTCCTGATGGCAGCTTGCAGATGTGCGAGTGTGCCACAATAGCTGTCCGCGTTGATGGGGGCACCTCGTGGCATGAAATGCAGCAGGAATGGTCCTTGGCGATCCTGGAAGACTGTGACCATCAACTTCCTGACGGATGGCATTCTGCAGAATTTCTTCGTGACAGGCGAACCAGGATGTTTCCACGCCATGCTCTGCTGCTTGGATTCTGGAGTGAAATCCAATACCCATGTTTCATCTCCGGTGACAATGAGATCCAGGAAGATCCACTGAAAAAGTTCCTGGCAGACCAGAGGTTCCATTTCCGACAATGTGAAAACCGCTGTCCAGCGGTGGTTCCGTGCTCAACCGGCTGAATTCTACAATAGCGGCATCTCCACACTAGTGGTACGATCGGACAAATGCCAGAACTGGGGTGGTGGCTATGTGAAAAAATAGTCAAAGGTATTTAGAAAGTGTGACATGTTGCGCAAAGCCGAGCCCCCCCCACACCAGCAGTGACGCGGTGGGTGAGTCAGCGCTCCCCTCCCACCCCTCAGCGGTAACGTAACGCTCGGGTAATAGGCGAGTAATCACCCCGCATCCTGGCAGCTATGCGCAGTGACGTCACGAGCGGAGCCAAAGAGAGCCGAGCGGAGCCGAAGATAGCCGAGCCCCGTAACCAGGTAACTATGCAAGGCGAATCAACAGCGGTGACGTAACAGGATGACGTGGCACTCATTACGCAACAAGCAAGCACTGCAGCTATATAAGTGAGCTGCACAGTGGCTGCGAGTCAGTAATAAAGTAACAGTCGCCGAGTCAAGACGTAAAGTCAGCCAGTCAGTTGTATTGTGGCATTTGGAGTGTACTAATTGTGATACTGCAGATAGCAGTAACCGTAAATCTGTAATTTGGGTGATTGTAAGTGCGAATGTGAAATAAAATTCGCTACATCGAATACATCGAGAATTTATTTGTCACCTGTATTTTGATTTCTCTGTATGTTTATTATTGTGGCTGAAAGAAAATAGGGGCAAAGACTTTCAATTTGCCTTTGTACAACTATCATTTTCAGGCATTTTTCATCTTGCTTTCAATTCTACACGTTCTGTCCACCTCATACGCTTCGACTTCCATCAAGCTACTAACATCTGGTGCAGAGCACAAATTGTAACACATGCAATTTTGCAGTCTTCTCTCCCTTAGGTCCCAATATTCTCCTCAGTGCCTGTTCTCAAGCCATTTGAATAACAGCACTGGCGAGCACTGCTGCTGTACTTTTCATTCAGTATTTACTATATTCTGATCATGAATCCAATTTATTATGTAATATGAGTTCACAAAACATATACTGGCTAACAAGCCATCTTCAGAGGCTTTCTCACTCACCTTATTCAGTAAGAGATAGTAAAAACTGTTTAAAATACTACACTTACATTATTATATTCATAATAAAATACAATTCCATAGATTATATAGCAGGTGGCCATGAATGGTATGTAAGAATTTGGAAGAAAAGTGGTCAGGGCATACTTGTAGATAATCCCAATGACCTGAAGAAACTGCAAAAAATCACAGGAAACATTAGCTGGTCAGCCAATATCTTAGCCAATATTCAAATAGGGAACCTCCTGGGTACTAGAGCATTACAGCTACAACAAACTACTCCCATCTCATCACTGGTTATGAATGTAGGTTATTATAATCTGAACATTTAATACAATAAATTCAATTAGAAATTTTTCTCTTCCCTCAGTGTACCCATCTTCTTAACAGAACTGTGCAAGTGTTACTCCAGACAATTAACATTGCTTCTACCAATCATATACATACTGCCACATGACACCTGAAAGCCAGAAGAGTGGAACAAGAAGAGGTGGCCACTGCTAGGCAATGGCACAGTAAATATGTTTTCATAGCAGCAGATCAACATGCAATAACAGAGGATCTGTTAGAAGTGGTAGTTTTGTGTGTGTGTGTGTGTGATCCATGGCAAGACAATATAATGAGGAAAACAAGAAAAGTTGAGGTTGGAGTCAGAGGTTAGCAAATGTGACTTGCAAGTGAGCAGTGACAGTTCACTGCTGACTGTTACCAGAAGCTACCTAGCAATAACTACTGACAAGATTTCATGTACGCTGTAACTGCAGGGATTCATAGAATGTGTAAATCAGTAAGACTGTCTCATTCATTTGTAGCTTGCAGTTACAAGTTATAAGTGACCAATCAAAACCCTGTGTCTGGTCACTAACACACATCAATATTTATTCCTACAGCAAACCATACAATGTCCTGGGCTCTGCAGATGGCCAATCAATACTCTTACCTTACAAGCCAAAGACATCTTCTTTTCAAAATCTTCCTTTATGGCACTGTATTTTTCTACCAAGTTTCTATAGTCTTCTTGAGCCTTTTTTAATTTTGCTTCGGCCTTCTCCAGATCTTTTGCAGATGCATTTTCTTTTTTTAATTTGTCAAATTCTAAACCCTTCTGCGTATACGTATCCTTTGCCTTTTGTAGAGTTAACGCTGTTGACTGGATTGTCTGCACTACTTCTAGCGTACCGGACTCCTCCTCTTTCACCTGAAAAAGTTTCACTAAACATTATGTAATTCTTTATTCTTGGAAAAATGTAATTCAGATTAAAGTCTTCTCGTATGTGATGCCACACAGTTCAGTTAACAGGTACCAATGTTTTCATGGAACCTGCTGCCTCCATCTTCAGGAAGCAGAAAAACCTCTCTATCATGAAGATGGAGGCAACATGGCGTCACATCCCACAAGACCATAATCTTGCACTTCTGACAGTTCTGATGAAGAACTAAGACACTGAATTCTATACCTTAATGAAGTGTAAAAAAGTCAAGCAAAAACCAGAACATTCACCCCTGCAAATACCTAAGCCACTTCCTTCAGGTACACAGCCTCTTTAAAACATGGCTCATCATTATCTTCTCCTCTACTAAATTAGCCAGGTAACTGTTTCATCAAGTTTTCACTACCAAAACTCTCTAAACATCCCTTGCTTCTCCCATTTGAGTTACATGTCAAGCCAAGCTTAATCCTAAAACACTGGGTTGGGAATCTCATACACATACATCTAATCACCTTCTAGTGCCAACTGAAGTGTCACTTTTGAATTTTAAATTACTTTTTCTTTCATATATGTGCAGTCACTGGGCACTTTACTACCCTACTAATAGTTCAAAATATTCAAACCACACATGTAACCACAAATCAGACATTGAGCTTGGCACTAATTTTATAGAAGTACTATGTTGCATAATACAGGGCTACTATAAATGATTCATTCGTTTTTAAAACGCTATATTTTCGAAAGCATTATATGCACAAATATGATTGATATATAAAAAGAACCGTAAACTCACCAAGTTTTCTTCACACTCTACAAATGTTCTATGTGTGCGCCTTGGGTCACACGACACACGTCCAGGTGGTAGTCGAGCTCGTTCCACACATTTTGTAGCATCATCCTGTCAATGGTCATCATTGCAGCATCGATGTGTTCCCTCAGCTCTACTAGTGTTCTAGGCAGTGGGGGAATGTAAACACAATCCTTAATGTACCCCCAAAGGAAGAAGTCACAAGGCGTTAGATCAGGTGATCTGGGGGGCCAAGTGAACAGAGCTACATCATCCTCACCAACACGCACAATCCAGCGATGCTGAAGTTCATTGTTTAGGTAGCGATGAACATTGCCGATACCACCGCAAAATGCTTTGTTTACATGGCGGTTCTTTTCCGTACTCTCTTTTGAATGCGCGTTGCACTGCTATAACATATGAACATCTCGCATATTCCAACAAACAAAAACTCTTTTCTTGCTTTGTCGCCATTCTGTAAAGGCACTGAATTTGTGCCGCCAACTGGTGCACATAATACAAACTTCGTTGGTTTACGGTTCTTTTTATATATCAATCATATTTGTACGCGTAATACTTTGGAAAATATAGCATTTTAAAAACGAATGAATCATTTATAGTAGCCCTGTATTAGGGGTCTGCTAAAGCAACAAATGTATTCTCTGTTGTAGAATAAATGGTCGTTACCCACAACTGAATATGAAAAATGACTAACAATGTCCTAATATGACAACTTTTACACTACAACTACTGTTCAAGTTCTTTGCAACCATGCTAATTAAAAGCACATGATACTGTCAGATGTGAGGAACTGTATCAGCTGGAATTAACATTCATTTGTTTCATTGCCTATAACAAAGCAAGTGTTTGATATCAGGAATGTGTGAGAATGACCTTTTCATTTTGAGAAAAGACAGAAAAATTTCAAGATTCAAGATGAGAATGAGAGTTTTCTCTACAAAATCACCGTTTTCACTAGTAAACTGTAATACTAGACACTTTCCACAATTCAGTGAAGTGTACTACTGCATTTACCCAAGTGGAAGATCATTTTGAATGCAAGATGATCACACACTCAGAAGTGTATCTGCACAGAAAAGTATTTTTATGTATTAATTACAGTCTTACTACAAACGCAACAGAAAATAAATACATTATGAAACATGTTATATGTGACATTTATCGAGTTAGTTTCTTTCTTGAGGTGACAAGCCTTTATTCAGCTTAACCACTCTCACTCTGTTCACTATTTTCATCATCTATCTCACATTTCACTTCTCACACTTTACTTTTCACAGCCAACATTCCCACCTCCTTCCTCATCCTCCTTTCCATCCATTTCATCAGATATACAGTACTTCTTAAATTCTTTAACCATCAATTCTGGAGAGATCCAGTACCATAGTCTTAATCCAGTGTTGGAGTGGTTCTACACCATCCTTACCAAGAACCATTTGGAATAAAACTGTACCAAATGGCTACAACATGTCATTATGAATTCATCCTTCCAGGTATGACAAGGTCAATATTCACTGCATGAATCATAGATCAACAACAAGAATTCCTTGTTTTCTAAACAATACACTTGGCCTTCTCTTCCAGACAATTTGTAAACAGAACCCCATTAGTTCATCTGGTCATCTAGTCTGTAATGTGACACATTATTAGTCCCACAGGCAGCTGTGCCTCAGTTCAGTATCACATATGGTAGTCATTTTGTGCTGACTGCTAATGATGTCAACACCATAGTCACATGCATCTTTCCACAGCCTGATTCTTCTTCTGACAACAGATCTTGCACCTACATCATCGATGGCATAACTGTATGTCCAATTGAAATACACTGGCATTTCTCCTGCACTGGCTCAAAGCATGATGGCAACTCATTGCAAAATGTTACTGCAAAGAAAACCTGTTCCATCACACCACCCTGAGCTGGACATAAAATCTAGGCCTCTCATTAGTGATGATGCATGAAACTGACAGTCTATCCTGTCTCTGACTTCATAAAAGCAGCAGATCTGTAACTCTTCAAATGGGAAAAATCCATCTTCCATTTAGGCATATACAATATACACTTCCAGCTGCTGTGAAAGTTTCAGTACTCGGCAGAACCTTTTCCGAAACCAGTAATCAAAAAGAGGTGTGTGACTTCTTCATGACAAGGCTGGCAAGAGCACATAGTTTACTAATAATGGTGTGGCAATAGGGTGCAGTTTGTGGAAGCAGTAGCAAAGGAGCACGGTCTATTCATCACAATATTTGTGACACTACTCATTCAAAGACATAACCTCATTTCTGTAATTTCCTCTCCCTTTCACAAAAACATATCCAACCAGTCCACAGTAAACAAGCTCATGTCACTCTGTGAGCTATTCTAAACAGGTACTGTTGAACCTGCATACTAAAGACATGTGTTTATAATCATTCATAGCTAGTGAAGGTTAAGTTATCCCTGTACTTAATTATACTATTAAGCACTATGCCATGAAGACATATGGGAAAGTGGAGCTATAGCTGCATCAATCTTGAACTCGGCACGAGATGGAGGTGAGTGATCAGCTTTGCACCCATCACTTAACCCCATGGATACAGTCTGGCCCAGAGCCAATCTGGACACTATGGGGATTACAAAAATCTCTTGCCCTTGCTGGGAAATGAACACCAGCCGTCCATACCATAGCCACTAAGACGCTAAACCAACTGAAACATCCCAGTTCTCTTTTCATGGTTATTGGAAAACTTAAAATAACTGAAGGACAAGAATAAACTAGAAATCAAGACCCTGGTAGAAAATATGATACTGGTGTCTAAAGCAGAAATAATGTACACTTAAAGAAGTGTTTCCCAGCAGCAATATGTGAAATCCAGAAAAATACAAGGCTGTAGTGGAAATGAACAAAGAATATTACATCCAAGGCTCAGAAGACACAATGTATCATATACACTTACATTCAACATGTACACTTCAATAAAAGTAAAGTAAAGTAAAGTAAAAAGTAAAGCTATCCCTGTAACAGGCCGTGAAGGCCCATAGGGTTGTGAGACATTGAGGGTCCCACATTATCTAGAAAATCAGCTCAAAGATGGTGGTAAGGTTGTCTGCCCTACACACACGCTGCACTTTACTCTCCAGGAAAATTATCTAATTAATCCCTGGTACTCATTTCTGTTAGAGGCTGAGTCGACCTGAGGGCCATATTGTGGCTGGAAGGATTAGGTCAAGGGAAAAATATCCAATGACCTCATCGGGACTTGTACTTCAATAAATTCATAAGAAGATTCTTTTAATGGGGTGCAGAGCTCATTTTGTGGCACAGTGTATTCAAGAACATACAGTAACCTGAGATACCTTCAATTACAAATTAACAAGGTTTTCTGATATTTATGCGCTTACGATGGAAGAACTGTTTTAGGTACAGAGACAGTCAACTACTCTATATAGTATATAGAATGCATATCAACACACGGTTTTATGCTTCTTATGCAGTTCGTCTGCATATCTGCTCACTTCCTTCACAAGTTCTGAAACTTTCTGAACCATCTGCATATGGAGGTTGGAAAGTTTCTCAGCTGAGGTACGTAACACTTGCCAGAGAGGAGCAAATGTTCCTTGAACACATCCCCCTGCAGCCTGTTTGGCAAGTTTGCTCAGAAGTTTTGAATGGTTCTCCTCAATACTGGATCTGGAACATACATTTAAATGCAGTCAAAATGAACTGTTGGCAATAAAGGAATGGCCAGAAAGAAGTGTGAACCTGATAGCTCAGCTGCTATGGTGACCAATATAATGGCTGGACCACCAGAAAACCAGGATTTGAGTCCCAGTGGGTGGCAGGAGATTTTATGCTCTACCATCACATCCAGACTGGCAATGGGACCCACCCAGCCTATCCAGTAGGAACTAGACACTCTTTCTCTAGGGCAAAGCAGCTAACCACTCACGTGCATCTGAAGCTGAAATTTAAAAAAAGACTTCAGCTGTACCTTCACATGGAAGTCAAGGCTCATGGTGGACTACAGTGACAATCCTTTAGCTTTACTTTCATGAAAATACAATATTTTAATTAGCAGCCTGTACTCTGCCATCAAAATAAGTGATTTACTACTCCCTCACACAGTAGAATTCAAAGATATAACAACCACTTTATTACACCTTCACCTGGTGTGGCAGGAACCATGGTTACATCCAAAACTGTACTGAAGGAAATTATGTTTCAAGCATTTTTATGTTACCAGTAAGAGATCGATATTTAAATCAACAGCACAGACATTCCTCTACTCCTTAGTAGGAGTTTTGTTCATTAGAAATTTGAGAGACTACAATCAGCAATACAGAATATGTACCTGTGTGATAGATGAATAACATAATGAAGCATGTAGATTCTAAAGGGTTCTGATGACGTGGATGACATACAGAATTATTAGCATGTTGAGCTGACACTTCCATAGTTAATGCTTCATTTGATGTTGATCAAATTACATGATTTGGAAAATTAAGGTTATAAGAATTTACAACTGGCTGCTGCAAAATATCCATGATGGAGTCACTGTCCCACAGCTGGTTTTCATAACCACCTTAGCAGCGAAGTCAATACATAAAATGTATAAATATGGAGAGAAGAAAATCCTCATGTCATTCAGCAAGTGCCATTACATGGCAAAGCAGTAGTACATATTACATTTTACAGAACATTGCATGAATTTCTTTGGAATTACAACAGTTAAACATAGATTCTTATAAACTAGGAGCAAACTATTGTAGAACCTTTTATGAAAAAGGAGGAGTATGCATCTATCTATGCACAAGCTTGAAATTTGTAAATATAGACCTAAAAAATATTGTAAAGAAAAAGATTTTGAGGTATGTGCTGTTAAGTTAAACCTGAGCTCCAACAGACTTCGTATAATTACAATATATAGAGCTCTGACTGGAAACATTGATACATTCATAACAAAACTAGATACAATACTTAGAAATCTATATACCTCAACACAAGAATATATTATTTGTGGGGATATTAATATAAATTACCTTCTTGATTGTGAAAAGAAAAGCAAGTTAGATGCCTTATTGAGAACTTATAATTTAATAAGTACGATAAACTTTACCACCAGAGTTCAAGGAAGTTCTGCTACAGCCAGTGATAATATTTTCATCGATATTACACAAGGGAAAATTATTCTATAAGGCCTATAATAAATGGACTGTCTGAACATGGTGCACGATCCATAACATTTAAAACAATAAACATGAGAACACATCCTAACCAATTTAAAATAATAAGGAAAATAAACAAACACACAATAAATGACTTCTTAATTAAACTACGTTATGAAACATGGGGCTCAACATTTTCTAATGATGATGTTAATATAATGTTTAACTCCCTTTTAGACATTTACTTGAAAATTTACTATTCCAGTTCCCCCCCCCAAAAAAAAGATAAATAAAATTTCAAATAAAATAAGTGATTGGACTACTATAGGAATAATGTCCTGTAAATGTAAAAGAGTACTCTATATGACATGTAGAAACAGTAATAATTCAGAATTAAGAAACTACTATAAAAAATACTGTAAAATTTTATCTAAGGTCATTAAGGAAGCTAAAAAACTAAAATATGATAACAAAATTCAAAATTCCAAAAATAAAAATTAAACCATATGGGATATAGTAAAATTAGAAACTAATAAGGGGACAAATAATGAAAAAATATGCACATTAAAGGTGGATGGAAAATGGATTAGAGAAAAGCAAGTAACTGCAAAGACCTTAAACAATTATTTATCTGTAGCTTAAAATAAAAATGCAAAATATAAACAAAATAATACTAATATTAGTTACCTTCCAGACACTACTCCCATTCAGTACTTACTGAAAACTTTTATAAACCCGTTTCCACATATAAAAATTAAATCTTTTATCAACTAAGGAAGTTGAAAATATAATTAACTCTCTCAGAGCAAAAAACTCTTATGGATATTATGAAATATCCACTAAAGTATTAAGAATGAGTTATTTTTCATTGGCTCTCCTTTGACTCGCATATGCAACAATTCATTATTACAAGGAATTTTCCCAGATTGTTTTAAGTATCCAGAAATAAGACTGCTGTTTAAAAAAGGTGATAAATCAAATATTTCTAACTATAGGCATATATCACTTTTAACACTTCGCGGACCAGTGATTTAAATATTTAAATCACCCTGGGGACCGGCATTTTTAAACATACTACCCTAACTGGTGCACTGTTCACTTTAAAAATTAATATAAAATCTCCTAATTAATTTTTTGAACTAAAATTTTTGGAGAACACTTAACAATGCTCCTAGAAGTGCTTGAGGGTGTGATATTTCTGGAAACTTTCCCCTTTGTGAAGTGGCATTACACAGAACTTGCAAATGTAGACATACTCCTTTTTTTGTGAACTGTGCAAACACGGCATTGCCTACAAGTATTCTTCCCCATGGAATTTCACTCTTCACAATTTTCACGAGGGTATTTTTCCGCATATCACTCAAGAGTCGCCCTGGGAGGTCCACATGAGGCCTTCGTAGGGTGGGAGTTGATGAGCCCAGTCATACTAAGTCTTTGTGTGACCTCAGCTCTGCCGCCACCAACTGGACTATAGCCCAGGCCTTTGCCACATTCATCAGAAATGCTTTGTATTTCAATTTTGAATCATGGTTTAGACTTTTTTTAGATTTTTTTGCTGTCCCCGTAATGTTATTACCCGCATTTTCATCGGAGCTACTGTCACTTCTACTGTCTGTGGTCACAATTCTTTGTTGTCCCCAGTCACTGTCACTGTCTGAATGACAATCCATTACTATGCGTCTCACAAGGCAGGTCAGCTAGGTCATCGGAGAAGAATTTGTCCTTGAGCCATTCTCCCCACTAGCTACTGGCTGGTACACACAGCTTGAAAAAGGCAAAGCATTTTCCTTTATAGTCGGTTAAGTAAACAGCGAGGTCAAGTTACTGACTGCTAACTAAACATTCCAGAGTCTTATCACGCATCTGCAGGCGGTTGCGTGCAATGTAGGTGGCGCCAGAGCGATGAATAGTGTGTTGCAACTTTTCGTGTTCTAAAAACCTGTTAACACACGAACGGTCCGCCATGTTTAAAAGCAAAAAACCTTTTAAAGGGTGCACGGTCCACAAAGTGTTAACTTCCTTCTCTAAGGTATTAGAGAAAGCTATGAGCATTCAATTGATTGAGCACATTTTAGTGGAAGAACAATTTTGGTTTTAGAACAAAATCTTGAACAGATAAGGCTATATACAAGTTAGTGAATGAAATCTATAAGACCTTAAACAGCAAAAACGTAATAAGGACGCATATTTTTTGACCTCAAAAAGGCCTTCGATTGCGTTAATCATGAGGTTCTGTTGTCGAAATTGGAGTTCTATGGGATAAAGGGTAAAGCTAAACTATGGCTTGAATCTTATTTCAGAAATAGATATCAAAGGATTTTAATTACAAATATAAATCTTAATCTCAATGAACTTTTGACATGGGGCAATATTAGACGTGGTGTCCGACAAGGTTCGATTCTGGGTCCATTGTTATTTCTCATTTATATAAACGATTAACCAAAACTATAAATGATAAAACAGTAATTATATTATTTGCAGATGATACTACTTTGTTAGTTAAAAGTTCACACTATGATGGTCTGTGTAAATATAAACAATGCTTTTCACAGTATAAATGAATGGTTCAAAGTAAACCAACTTTCTATAAAACCCACTACATTCAATTTACAGCTATAAATAATAATCCTAAATCTGAAATAAAAATTGTATACGATATAAAAACAAATTACATCTATATCCAATATCAGATTTCTTGGAATATTCATTGATGATATAATATGCTGGAAATACCACATTGAATACATTAGTTCAAAACAAAGTGCAGTCTGCTAATTCCGCACCATAGCTCAAGCGGTTAATCGCTGGCTTCCCACTGTGGCAGCCCGGGTTCAATCCCAAGTCTGGTCAATTGGGATTTGTGGTGGACAACGTGGTGCTGGGGCAGGTTTTCTCCGAGTGCTTCGGTTTCCCCCGCCAATATTCATTCCACCAATTGCTCCACAATCACCCTCACCTATCAACTGGGGTTGGTACAATATGCCAGAAGTGGCCACAGTACAGGGACTTAGTCCCACACCACTAGGAATAAAAAAAAAGGGCAGTCTGCTACACAATAAGATTGCTTAAACCATACACATCCATAAATACCTTAAAAATGGTTTATCACTCTAATTTTAATTCTATTATAAATTAGGGTTTACCCTTTTGGGGTAACTCACCCAAAAGTATAAAAATTTTTAGAATGCAAAAGAATATAATTAGAATTATGTTGGGATGCAAAAAGAGGGATTACTTATTTAGAGAATTAGAAATCTTGCCTCTGGCATCTCAGTACATACTATCATTATGCTCTTCATGGTAAAACACAGAAACAAATTCATAGTAAATTCACAGATTCATAGAATAAATACCAGACAGCAAAATAATCTCCATCAACCTCTTGTAAATTTGAGTAAATACCAAAATAGACTTTAGTGTTTGTGAACAAAGGTCTATAATAATCTACTACAACATATTATGGATATATCAAGTGACACTAAGAGTTTTGAGGTACAATTAAAACAATTTTTATATTTACATTCTTTTTATTCATTACAGGAATATTTCTGTCATAAATCTTTTTAAGATGCAAGTAACTGTCTTACTTTACAATTAAAGGAAGACAAGATTGTCAGCCTGTTCTAGTTTTTAGTTACTTATTTTAGATATACACAATCTTTATATCACTGTATACTAGTCTTTATCTCAATTTATTATACTATTAATGTATGTTATACAAATCTAATTAATGACATTGTTTTAACTATTGAATTTATAATTAATAAAATTAATAATAAAACTGTATAAATTGTATAAGGTTTGTCATTACTTTTACTACTAAAATTAACTTATTTATTTATTTATTTATTGTATATATTTATCAGTATTTTATCACAAATGTGTATGCTATTGGATGACAACTGTAATTCTTAGTTGTGACTGTAACTAGGACGATCTCCACATCGGCATGAGAATGTACCCTCAACAGGATTTATGGAAGGTGAATAAATGAAATGAGTGGTGCAGTGTGCTACACTGCCATAACCCAAATGTCTGCTGCTGTGAAGACCTCACACCTTATGAAATGGTGGAATTACATGAATTAGAGAGAGGAAATTACTTACTCCAAAAGTCAAATTACTGCTCTGACACAATACAAAAATGACTGCCCTCACTATGCTGTTATAAAAGAAATTTATTTTCAGTGTAACCAAGTGCAGAAAATCAAAAACTGAAAATGTGACTTTATATACCTGTATATTACTGATGAAATAAAATATATGTTACCACTGAAAATTACAGAACCTCAGCAAACAAAAAATGAGTGCATAGAATGTAGTGGCCTTCATGGGCTTGGGCTCAGAATTGTGAGTTACAAAACCCATTCTCTGTACTAACTGCGCACAGGAAGGCTGAATTTGGAGTAGCCTCAACTTTTATTAAAAAGTTTAGTGCAAATATATATTCACATTTCCTTCTCCCCTTCATACTCTAAGAGTATGTACATAATCTGTACATTTTAAATGCCTGCCAGCACCAATGGCTATTTGCATACACTGCACAGTGGTGCATCAAATTACCTGTATGAGTCACTGCAATTTCCTCAAACTGTAATATTCGTAAAAAAATTCTGAGGATTTACTTATGGACATCCAAAAACAAGCTTATCTAAGGATTCTACTATTCAGAATAACTTCCACAAAATTATTTTAATGAGCAATTAATTCACATTTTTCTGCAACTGTGCACCCATCAAGGTCCACTGTGTCAAAAGCAGGAACATTTACAAACATACCTTTCCCTCAAAAACTCTGCAAAATCTTTACTTGCAACCAAACCGTATTTCATATTATGATACAGAACATCAAATCCATTGTTTTTCTCCCCCTGAAACAAAGAGGGCTCAGATTAAACAGCAGAACAGAACATGCATCTCTATATGTTTTGGCATAAGGAACAATATAGGTTTCTGTAAACATGATATTCAACCTCTGGGTCCCACAAAGCAGGAAACATATTTACCAACATTCAAATAAAACTCTGGACCATGGAGTTAGTATGTCACTTCTAACATTTCCAGAAGAAAACTAGCAAAGAAAGTACATCAAAGACAACTGGCCAAGATAGTTCGTTGACACAAAAATTATTTCAAAATTATAATCACTCACTCATGGAGCTTCTTCAGAAGCAGCAAATTCTGCAGCTACTCAACAACTTCCCAGCAGTTTATGGAACCTGAGGGTTCATTACCATGTTCACAAGAACCATCCAGCGGTCCCTAACCGGAGCCAGATCAATACGATCCATACCTTTCCATCCTATCTCTCTGAGATGCATTTTAATATTACCGACCCACCTACACATTGGTCTTCCCAGTGGTCTCCTTCCTTCCAGCTTTCCCACCAATATTTTATATGCATTTCTCCTCTCACTCATTCATGCAACATGCCCTGCCCATCTCATCCTCCTTGACTTGATCATTCTAATTATACTTGGAGAAGAGTACAAGTTATGAAGCTCTTCATTGTGCAGTTTTCTCCAACCTCCTGTCACTTCAACTCTCTTCAGTCCAAATATTCTCCCCAACACCCTGTTCTCAAACACCCTCAGTCTATGTTCCTCCCTTAAGGTCAGAAACCAAATTTCATGGCCTTACAAAATCACAGGCAAAATTATAGTTTTGTATATTGTACATTTTTGACAGCAGATGACAAAACAAAAAGGCCCTCGACTGAATGGTGGCAGGCATTACCCGAATTCAATCTCCTCTTAATTTCTTCCTGAATCAGGTTTTGATTTGTTATAGTCATTCACAAATATCTGAACTGTGTCACATATTCAGAATATCTGTTACCTGTCTTTATGTCCTGATATTACCATGCATTTTGGTGACTAGATACCAACATATACGTAGCTTTCTCTGTGTTTAATTCTAGACCAATCTCCTTACTAGTGTCAATTGAAGTTTGTGTGTTATTCTTTGTGGTATCTACATATTCACCCAGTAGATTCACAACATCGGCATAGACCAACAGCTGATGTGTCCTGTTTAATTTCAGTCCCACCTGGTTTTCCTGGACCTTCCTAATGGCATATTCTAAAGCAAAGTTGAAATGGACTGGCAATAAAGAATCTCCTTGTTTTAGACCATTCTGGATAGGAAATTTATTAGACAAATGTTTACCTATATGGACTTTACTATACATTTCGTTTAAACACATTTTAATTACCCTAACTAGATTCATGGGTATCCCAAACTCTTATCAGAATATTGTACAATTCTTCCCTCCTAACTGAATCATAGGCTTTCTTGAAGTCTACAAATAGCTGGTGTACTGTCTCATTGTATTCCCATTTTTTCTCCAGTATCTGAGGAATGCAAAGATCTGATCTGTAGTTGATCTGTTATGTGGAAACCTACACTGATGATCCCCAATAATTTCATCTATGTACGGACTTAAACTTGAGAGAAGAATATTGGATAAAGTTTTGTATGAAGTTGAGAGCAGCGATATCCCCGATAATTACTACAGTCAGTTTTATCACCCTTCTTGTGAACTGGTACAATAACAGACTCCTTCCACTGATCAAGCAATTTTTCCTTATGCCTAATAGAAGTAATTAGATTGTGGATCTTAGAACGTAATATTTCACCTCCTGCTTGAATAAGTTCAGCCGGAATTTGATCACTACCTGGCGATTTATACCGTTTCAATTTTGCAACAGCACTTTCAACCTCAAGAGGGCTAGGATCAGGTACTAACAGCTCAACTGTATGTATTTCTAACTGCCTAACATCACTGATCCTATGCACATTGAATAACTGAGAGAAGTAGTTCCTCCACCTATTCAAAATGTTGTGGGAATCTGCAAGCAGATCACCATTCTCATACTTCACTAACAATAGATCACTGTAGGTTGCAGTGCAAGGGCCGAAAAGGCCCACCCCTTATAAAATCATTCAAGTTACGTCTAGGTTGGTAACCACTCTCAAAGTCATTTATTCCTCTATACAGGTAACCCTGTAACCACTGAGATTTGGCTTCTTTTCTTTGGTCTAATAATTTTGAGCGTACTTCATCAAACCAAGGTTTATGCTTCTTTGGTTCATAATAACCTAGACTCTCCTTGGCAGAAATTTTGATATTCTCTCTAATAGTTTCCCAAGCTTTATTAAGATCCACCTCAGTGTCTAAATTTTCCAAAGCTGCGAATCTATCTGAGATTTCAACACGAATCTGCTCTTTACCCTCTACCTTGTTCAATTGCTTGAGAGTGAACCTCTCCATATGAACTCTGTGCGTTGTCTGTTTGCTCACTGCCAGTCTTTCCTTTACCTTTGCCACTACCAGGTAGTGGTTAGTATCACAATCTGCTGCCCTGAATTTTCAGACATCAAGTATACTTGGGTGCTGTCTCCTATCTATCAAAATATGGTCGATTTGATTGTGTATCTTCCCATCAGGAGATGTCCAAGTAAATTTATGGATGTTACAATGTGGGAATATTGTACTTTTGATATTAAGATTTTTTGATGTGGTAAAGGTTACTACTTTAAATCCATTATCATTACTACTTTCACACAAACTCTCATTCCCAATCGTTGGTTTGAAAATGTCTTTCCTCCCTACTTTGGCATTGAAATCTCCAAACAAAATTTTCATATGATACTTTGAGAATTTATCATATATATTTGATCTGTCCAGTCACACTGGACAGAATTGTTTTATCTTTCATAACACTATCATATATATGTACTAGTTCTTCACAGAACCTGTCTATGTCATCAATTTTACCTTTTCTTTGGGCATGAACATTCAGAATGATATCACACCATTGACCTTTTAGTATTATTTATGACATCCTATCACAAACGATCTCTAAAACCACAAAAAGCCTCAGTTAGAATGGCCAATAATATCAAGAAGATTTTAACTGAATATTCCTTAACACATTCATGAGTCCTGTTCCTAGGCAATGACCATGATATAACAAAATATACAACTGCCATTTCTGAGAAACAGCTTCAATTGGAAACAGCAAAAGAGGAATGGACTTTTCTGTGCAGTACGTGCCGAGATGTTACGTTGTGTGTTCAAGTTCTAAGGTCTATGATTTTTTTTCTCATGCAATAATCATACAAACAATTTGAGACTTCTGTCACTTTTCAACGTAATCTCCCTGCAGCCATACACATTTTTCACAACGTCGACACCTTGATTCCATGGCTGCTATGAACACTTCTGTAGAAGTCTGTTTTGACCACTGGAAAATCGCGCTTTTTTTCAGGATTGAAAAACGGCATTCATGTCTCATCCATTGTCATAACTGATGAAAACAAAGTCCCATTCATGCCTTCATCATGTGTCAACATCGCCTGGCAAATTGCCATGCACAGCCTTGTGGTTGTCCACCAGCATTTGTGGCACCCACCTGGAGGACATTTGCAGGTCTTCATGCAGGATTGTGTGCACAGATCCCACGGAAATACCAACTTTGGAGGCGATGTTTTCCACACTCAATCGGCGATCCTCCAAAACAACTTTCTCAACTCGGTCGAACATGTTGTCAGACCAGCTGGTGCAAGGCCGAGATTGTTTTGATTCGTTGTCACACGACATTCGGCCTTCTTTGAACTGTCACACCCACAAACGTACATTTTTCACATTCATGACACCATCACCACATGTCTCACTCAACTGGCGATGAATTTCAATGCGTGTCACGCCACGCAAGTGGAGAAAACGAATGATTACTCGCTGTTATTGTAACGAAAACGTCGCCATTTTAAGTATCAAAAACACTGCTCACTCTCGCCGCCACCACTAGAGTTCTGTGTGCTGTACAGTGCTGCCATCTCTGTCACGCATTCACAAAGAGTGCACACGTATTTTAAACTAAACCGCATGTGTCTATCTGCTCCCAGTCCTGAGAAAAAAAAATCGGAGACCTTAGAACTTGAACGCCCCTCGTACAAACAGGACAGTTGAAGCAATGAGTTTGTTGTAAGACAGTTGCCTGCCAATAACGACATGTACGTGGAAGTTAAGGAAGCCACAGTGTTGGAAGCTGTTACCAGGAGGCAACCGGTGTAGTCACAGCAGACCAAGAAGAGTTAGTGCATTCTGTAGTGAATTAATACTGTGTGTGAATTAGTGATAGTGCTATGGTTACTTCTTGTTATGATCTGTAAGTGGTCAATAAATCTAATTACCAATCCAAATTCAGTCTATAGTCACTCAATCATGATACACTATTATAAGGAAATCAATGGAATGAAAAAATCATTTTATTTCAATACATCAAACATGATAAATGATACAAACTCCGTCCCAAGTGCAAACAATATATATTATATGTCTTTGATCTTGTTCTCTTCCACACTACATGTTTCGGACTCTATCGGCCATCATCAGGTGTATACTCTTAATGTCGCTGCCACACTGAACCCATTCTAAAATTTAACATTTAAAAACACATTGTTATTTTCTTCGTATTATCAACATCTACCTTGTTGATATGTGTCTGGTATGTAGATTATATTGCACATGTCAAATTTGATTTTCCTGTAGTAGCACTATAAAATCTTTAGTTATGATTTTAAAATTTTTTAAATTTTCTCTAAATTTTAAATTTTAAATTGTTAGGGTTACTCGCCCTGTGTCTAAAGTGCTGGAGCGGCTAGTTCTTGTTTCCACACTGTACAGGTGTTATCTGTAATATACAAATATTCGTATTATTATTTTATGTACGTAATATTTTCTTATGTGTGTATATTGTTATTTGTACTTACTCTG